CAAGATGGAGATGTATAACTAGGTATATTGATGGTACGTTATCCTGAGTTTTATACAGATGTTGAGAAGTAGGTGTAAGACCCAAATCTTGAAGGACTCCATAAGGGAGCATCTACCAACCTCCTCCCTCCCCCCCAAAAGAATAAATATTCCTTTTTACAATAAAAATGAACAACTCTGAAGAACTTTGACTCATCATAAATAAATACCATGCTAGTGCATACTCTTCAGTTGCTTGTGCTTGGCTCATACTCTAAGGAGAATAGCTAAACAAACTGCAGGATCTCCTTTTGTGATTTGCCTGCCATGAACAGGCAAACGGGAATTCTGGTTTGTACATCTTTTAGCCAACTGACATAGAAGTCATTTGTTCTTGGAGTCTGACTCCTAACTGGCTTGAGAGAGGTAATCCAGGAATTCCAGTTCATGTATCATGATAAATATATTAAACAAGTAAATTGATTTGATTAGTCAGTCTTCCTTGATAGGAGAAACCCAGGAGAAATTCATTCCCAGTAATTCCTAACAGCTGGATTTCTTTTAAGGGTATATATAATATTTAAACTGACAAAACAATATAGCTGTACAGTTATAGTTACCATTATAACACTGTAATATTCACATTTTAATTATACACACACACATATTAATGTTTGATAAGATCCAAGTTAAAAGCATAAATTGATAATTTAAAGAAGCTTGTAGATAATTTAAAGAAGGTTGTACAGCAGCATAGTATTATAAATTGCTCTACAACCACATAGCTTCTTTAAATTATCCTCCTAGGATAATTTACTTATAGTAGATCCTTCCATAAGTAAAAATAAGCATTTTAGAATCTATAGAAGAAAGTGTATTTATAGTATTTTGCTGCTGTGTGCTCTGATTGTTCAAGAACACTAATATTGAATATGAGAGAGGAGTATATGTTACAGTTATCAATAATTCTGATGACAAGAATCTTGTAGTACCATAAAAACTAATACATTGATTATAGCATAATCTTTTATGGACTACAATCTACTTCATCAGTTGCACAGAATATTATCTTGAGAAGAGAATTGTGTCTGTGTGTCTGTGTGTGTGTGGCTGGAGAGGGAAATAGTAAAAATAGATCAGAAGGAAGCAAAATGTAGAAGGTGGGTGTTAACAGTGAAATTTATTCATAAATAATGGCCATTCATAAGGCAACTGTAGGTGAGATAAGTACAGATGTTTGTGTCATACCCAACAACTGCCACATGAATGGTCTTCTATTAATAATTTTTACTGTCTACACTTCCTATATTTCACTTTCCTCTAACTTTAATTGCTTCCACTTGACTTCTCCTGCCAGAGGGAGTGACCACTGTTCTGTCATATGGAAATATCACTCTGCATTTTCAGAGATTTCTGACCTTCTAAAGTGGTTGGAAACATACTAGAAATAATCTCCTTTGAAGGCTCAGGAATCCTAATGGAATCTGACTGTCTCAAAGGAAATTTCCAGCTGCCATGTCCAGCAGTTCTGGCTCGGGCTGTAAATACAATTTAACCCAAGCACCCTTTTTTCTGTAGGCACAGCCTGACCATCTTCTTGTTTTTTGAAGAACTGGTTGCAGTGAAACACATATGACAATGGATGAAATACACAAGACAGAAAATCTGAAGTGAAGCTGATCAAACATATAGAATTTGTTTGAGGGGATTAATCTATGGACAGTAATAATGACAAAGACAGTTTAGGTCTCCACTCTGAATTGGTGGAATTCTTTTGAACTTTGGCAGACATGATGTGGTAGTAATAGACTGTTGCAATTTATATAATACACATTGTGAAGATAAAATTGCTTGCATTCATTCCAGTTCCAATATCATTTTTACAGCAGAATCAGAAATGCTTAGTCATTCGTATGGATACCACAACTTGCTCACCAGGAGGAAGTGGACATACTGTTTGAAGAACTGAGGTCACCCATTGGCACATCAAAACAGGGTTCTAAATCTGGATTTTTGGGATAGTTATTGCCTCTTGGAGGAAGAATGTAGTGCTTGCATTATGGAGATGTAGTTCATCCGTCCTTAAGAAAAGTAAATTCAGATGAATGATTCTGAAAGCTATCACTTTGTATCAGAACTGATTTAAACTTTTTATTATGTGCAGTGAGCTCTCAGCTTCTGCACATCTTGCATAAATCTTATTTAGATAATGTCTAATTACATTTCAGGCTTCATTTTGGAAAAATTTCTGACATAGTCAGGCTTAGTACCTTTGACCACTGCATTCTGGGAAAGGGATCACTGCTCCCCATTAATATAAAATCTTCTATTCATGAATAAATATTATGGGATGTTGAACATAATGGATAGAAACATAGTCTATAAGATAGGTAAAAAAATTGGGGGGAGGTGGGTGTTGTATGGGGATTAAGAAAAGCTTTAGCTTGAGCTTTTGCCTTGCATTATATATTGAAATGTAAAGTATCTGTTTATTAATTTGGACTTTATTAGAGTGTTGCATGTTTAAAGATTAGAAAGCAATCCTTTTGAATGTGCAGAAGAGCAGCACCTCTGGTGGTGACATTAGAGGTATGTTGGTTGGAATTGTGCATATACCTGAATTTTTGTATATAGATGATGTACTATTGTTGGTTCAGAGTCTAAATGGTTTGCAGCAAATATTAGATTGGTATTATGCAACAAGGAGTATTAATCTGAAACTTAATGTTATTAAAAACCAATGCAGTTGGGTTTGACCAGGAAAATGAAGTGAACAATTGACACATGTGACATAAGTGATGAAGATCCATGTGAATCTGAAGAAAGATATGACTGCTTTAATGAGTTGCAATAAAGACGTGGCTTTCAATTAGGATGGGTTGGCCCTTGCATGGAAACCTGAAAAATGTCACAGTTTCCTTAAAGTGATACTGCACTCTGATATATTACTGTTTTAAATCATTTTTTAAAGCATGCCTTGGTCTAATATTTACACCCTACGTAGTGGTCACTACATCACAATTCTTAGGCAGAACAGATATATTCCAAATTCAAAAGGATAGATAAGTAAGGTTCTTGAACTTCTTGACCCAAACTTTCAGTATAGTCTCCTGTAACTCCTGAATCCCTTAATCGGAGAAGAGGCACAGGAATGGGGTGTGAGAAGGTGCATAAAGCTTCCTCAAATGTTATTCATACCATTTTGCTGCTGCCTAAACAGCTCAGGGCATTTTAATGCATTTTAATAAGGAAAATACTTTGCTGTGCTAATCTAATTTAAGGGTAGAATGATTGGTATAACAGATGGAATTTTTTTTTTGGTTTTAAAACATGATTATTAATATTTAAAATGCTTTAACCTCCTAGACCCTTAATATTCCTGAAAATCCTAAACCTTTATAAATGATATCAAAACAAGGCCCTTCCCATTTACAATTTATTTGAATAATTTTGATCTTTAATCAATCTGTAACTTTAATTTTATTTTTAAAGTTTCACTAATTCTATCCTGTTTCCTAAGTTTAACAGGAGGAATAATACACTGAAATTGTATTTCTATCAATTTTAATGCATTTCTCATAAAATGTATTTGTATATTTTGAAAATATTCACACAAAATATATTTTGCAGCTTCTGAATTGCTTATTCTTACAGTGTTTTCTGTTTCATCAAATAAAAAATGTTCTTTTAAGAGAAAGGGTTATTCTATTCATCTCTCCACCAATATGCTTTCTGTTCATTATAAGTATTCTGCAAGCTTTTCATCAGTTACAATCATGACCCTATTTTAAAATTAAAACTAAGACATTAGACAGTGAGGTCAGTTTGTTCATTTATATGAACTCTGTGTGGATTTTAAAAATCAAGATACTTCATGCATCTCCCCTAGACAATATATTTATGTTGGGTCTGATAGCAATCAATGGTTTAGCTTCATTGCATTTCAAGATGTATTTGCACCCAGTTGTCCAGTGATAGTGTCCTCACCCTGGAAATAATTTAGTTGCAAATTGACTGGAAGATGGTGAAAATTGAAAGTTAAAATTAGAAATACTCATAATAAACAGCAGAAAAAAGGTCAGATGATGCCACACTATGATGAGATTGGAATGGTTGGTAAATGAGGTTTTGTGTTTGTCGTGAGATGTATGTGACAAGCCTACCCAATGCTGTTGTAATATCCAGCCTAGCAGAAGAGACTACCCTGGAAATTGATGCTGGAAAGAATTTTCTTATGATCTAGGAAATTATAATTGCATTCTTTTCTTTGATGTGTACTAACCCGGCTATATTAAGAGGCTAGCTCAGGCGGAATATTAATTATATCATTAATACATACTATTGTAGTATTTAAGTACAAAATACATTTTAACTTCAGTGCATCAACATTATTTGTCATTGTATAGTTAAGCTTGTGCTATTTCTTTTAAATGAATTGTAATATAGTTATCCCAACATTATATCCAGTGAAATCAGTGGGATTTAATTAGTCATGAATAACTTAAGTCCCATTGATTTTAGTAGTCTCCTAGAGGTATGATGAAATCTGGATTCAACTCAATATTTATTAAATTTTGTGTAATAATTGGGAACAATAGAGATCTTATATGAGTAACATCACAAATATATTCTTAAATGTTTTAGAGACAGGGGAAAAAAGAATGTTTGGAAATTAATTGTTTTGGAGAAAGAACTGAGGCTGTGATTTCGTATTGCTTAATGTTGTAGAAAATTTCAGAGTGAAATACTAGAGAGATCTAGTTATTGATTACTGTTTAGGGCAGCATAAGGTTAGCTAAACAAGAGAGAAGACTACATTTTAATGTATTTATAGAGTCTGCTCTGCTTCAGAGATAAGTGTGCTGTCACCTTTGTACCTGTTCAGTTTCAAAAATAGTTCTGCTGTAAGATGTAGTCCTGCAATATGTAAAAGTATAGTGAGAGGCCCCAGTAGGTCATACAGTAAGCTCTAGTGACAATCATAGCTATTTATAACAAATTCTTCTATGTTGTTTTGGAAGCAGGAATAAACACACCAGAGAAGGAACCAAAAGTAAATATTGCAGCAGGGGAACAACCACTACTTCCAGCTAAAGAAGATGGTCCACCCAAAAAGACCAAATTTTCTGAAGAAAATAAATTTGGTCATGACCAGGTAAAAAGTATTATTACAATGTTTCTATCTTAGGGCTTTTTTCACGAATAATTTTAATGAAATGCTTTAATTCACCATGTGCTTTGTTATTTGGGCAAGTAGCATAAAATCTTTTTCAGCTAGTCACATGAAATTAATATTTCCAAACCAGATTCTTAAGTTATAATATTATCATATATGACTGCTGTATTTCTTTGGGTACTTAGGGATCAAAAAAGAAAAACCAGCATGAAAGTAGATACTCAGGAAGGAGGAAGAAAGTTCTTGGGAAAATAATCCTGGAAACCCAAATTTTGGATGAAAGTACACTTTTTTTTCACTAGCTGACATGGCCAATTAGTGTTTCTGAGCTGACTTCTTTATTTATAAATGACTTCTATACAGAGCGTGAAATATAGCAGGATATTAAATATCATATATGTATATTGTATGGTATAATCTAAAAAATAAATAACCTAAATATGTACAGTGTGTGCATGAGAGCCAGTATGGTATAGTGGTTATGGTAGTGGACTAGAAAGTGGGAAGATCCAGTTCTAGTCCGTCCCCAGGCATGGAAGCTGGCTGAGTGACTTTGCACCAGTTGTTATCTCTCAGCCCTGGATTGATTATTATTAATCTATTATAAATGATAGATTACAGTCCATAACCTTCAGTGAAGAACCCTTCATCCTGCAGTGGTTTGGTTCAGGCCCATAATAATTGTGTGGAAGTGGCTATGTGTACTGAAGATATGAAGTCCAAGGATTTTACTTATACAGTATATAATCTGAAACATTTGCTGTCTAATGAATAGGCTGCAGATAAACCACCATGTTTCCTCTTTTCCATGTGGAATTAGACCTTTATTTTTAGGGCATTAACAGAATGTGACAATAACGATAAATTCACAGAAGGTCTTGTTACCCTGAGAAGCTGGCTAGAAGAAGCAGAAGAGGCACTGTCCAATTCTTTTCTTGAAGAAAACTGTAGAATTTACTCTAGTTATAGGTCATTTTTTTTTCAATTTATTTGTCTAATAGTCTACATTTATGTGGATTTTTTTTTCAGTTTTACCAGTGCCCTTATTGTAACTACAATAGCAGGGACCCAAATCGTATACAGATGCACGTCTTGTCACAACATTCTATGCAGCCTGTTATCTGCTGTCCCCTTTGTCAAGATGTCCTGAGCAACAAAATGCATCTGCAATTGCATCTGACCCATTTGCACAGTGTGTCACCTGACTGTGTGGAGAAACTGCTTATGACAGTAAGTATTTGAAATGTTGATGTGTATTTTACATGTATGTGAACTGTCAACAATGCTGAATATATGCTGGTATTTATAAATGGGATTAGAAAGTTGGAACAAGGGCTCCTGAGATCGCTTCTTGTTCTGTCAATAACTTAGTTCATCTTTTTGGCCTATTCACTTAACCTTAATTTTCAAAGACACAGGAGTCTTAAGCTCTCATTAAAGTCAACCTTTCAAGATCAAGGTGCTCACCTCTGTGGCTCCATGCACTTCCTAAAGCAGATTGGCTATTAACTTTTCCCTGCAGGGAAACTTTTCTTCTTCATTTGCTGTAACGTATTGTGACGGCTAAAAGCATTGGAAATTACTATTTGTTTGTATATTTATTTATTTACTTAGTTTATGTGGCTGCCCATCTCATATGCATGACTCTGGGCAGTTAACAGTTAGATTTGTTGTTAATTTTATAAGAACTAATAAATAATGGTGAAGAGCAGTACACAAATACCCATACCTTTTATATCCTGTATCCATAATAGAGGATACTAGGGCAGAATCATAACCTTGTGGTTTATTTAGCTGCCTTGAGCACAAGGTCAGATACACCTCAGTTCTTATCATTAAGGGTACTATCATGTTTGGAAAAAAGAATATCATTCATACCTATCCAGATGTGAGAGATAGATATAAACTACTCTTTATTAGAGCCCTCAGAAGTAGTACCTTTGTATTACCTGAATTGCTTAAAATACCCACACTCAGCTCAGTAAAAATGGAGGTTTTAGATATCTCTTTTGCTCAGGACAATTGGGTTAGCAAATTTGACCCACACCATTTCTGCTATGTTTATGAGCTAATTTTAGGCTCTTGGGTGATTTGTCTAAATGTGATAAGCAGTATCAAAATTATGTTTTCTTCCCTAAGGTTCCTGTACCAGATATGATGGTGCCTAACAGTATGCTACTGCCAACAGTTGCTTCAGAGAAATCTGACTGTGACGCCACCTCTACAAGCCTGAGAGCTGAGGGGTCTGGAAAATACTCAGGTATAGCCATGAAAAGCCAGACCTGCAGAATTGGAAGTTCAGTGTCTTTTGCCAAAATATTCCTTTACTTTGAAGGAGGTATCAACCAAAGAAAATAATGCAGAGATTAAAGTCTGGTTTGCTTTAACCAATTAATGAAATCAAGTGTGTTTTGCGACAGTGTGACATTGTGGAATATTTTCTTCAGGGCTCTAGCTACTGTGCCACGGTTCTCCCTCTTCTTACAGGAAAATCTACATTGTAGTTAGGCATGAAGTTAATAAGAACAGTACAGCAGTTTTGGGCTAGCTCCGTTAAATCTGGTTTTATCTGTAAGAAAAGATACTCAAAACTTTTTCTTTTGAGACAGAATTTAATTACATTTACATAAAAATGAATCCCATAGTGAGGAGCATCTGCATCAGACTTCAGGCAGTCATGTTTATGAGGGTGTGGTGCAAAGAGAAAGGCTGAGAGCAGAGACTAACAGCGGCTCTTCTTCAAAGAGATGGATCTAACTGCTAGGGATTGCAGGCAAGGGTAAACATAAAAAAATAAACTCATTCATATTTTCCTTAAAAGAAAAAGTTAACCACTCCAGTAGATAAAACAGCCATAAAAGTTTTTCTTATTTCTGTAGCTGGAAAACAGAAAACAATAAGGGGAGGAAATGGTTAAAATAAGGATTCTCCAGTTCCATCATCTCAAAACATTTTGGTTAGGCAGATCATGGTAGTTTGATTGCAAAGGTCACTCTGATTTGTGGGCAGGCCTTTCAGTCACTGAATCCAGTATTTCCTCTGCCCACTCCTCCTCCTGCCAATCAAAAGCAATCACCCACAGATTTAAAAAAAAAAAAATCAACATATAAGAGAGTCTTTTTTCTCAAGTACAGGGGGAAATTCTCTGCCTTGTTTGAAAAATATATTTCAGGAACATGTTTAGTGGAGCATTATTATTTATTTCACTCAATACAGATGAATGCAGGGATGGTAGCAGGATTTTTTGGGCCCAGGACATTGTGGATAGATTGGCTCCTCAGTCCCATTCACAAAAGAAAGTTCACTGTTATATGTACTGATGTAAAGCAGTACAATTTAAATTGAAATCCAGCTCATTTTGTCCATGGGGGGAAAAGTGGGACCAGGTGAAGTTAGCTATGGCAAGTTTAAAATAGATCTGGAAAACAGTTTGCTTCTGTTCTGTTCATAAGAAAAAAACATTTAGGCTATGCACAAGTATGAAGGAAGTATCTGATACAACTTCAACAGGCAAAACTCTCCAGAGTTTTAATTCCATCCAAATGGTCAGAACCTTTGGAATTCTTGTTTGCATACAGCTGATAAAGACACAAGATCCCTGCTCACCTCTGGTGACAAATCTAACCCACGAGTTATGAACCACTCATATTATTTTAAGTCTTTGTATTCTTAGGCTGATTATACTATATTTGGTATTAAAACAAAGCAAAAGTGTAACCCGTTGTGGCAGACAGGGTTAGATTCAAAACCCAGACCTGAATACATTCAACATTAAATTGCTTATTTTAGGGCCATTTGTTGTGGCTTTAGATTTATATCTATTAATAGGCATAGCACAAGTCACTTGCCCATTTCTATTTTTGAATTAAAAGATTTAAGGAGTTTGAACTAGCAGCAACAACTCAATCCAACCCTATTTCTTCCCTACCACGGATTGCTGCTATAGTGAACTTGCTATATGCCCATTGCATTTCTTCAAAGTTATTTTAATTACATGTGTATGCACTTATGTATCAATATCTTTTTATATTTCACAATTTAGAAGGTAGGCCACACTAATGGAAAAAAGATAAGGAAGGAGAACAGTGACAAAAAGAAAGAAAAGAAAGGAGGGAGAGAGAGAGAGAGAGAGAGAGAAACAAACAGACAAACAGGAAAGGCCAAAAACTACTGTATGTCAAAATAAACTACGATCTCATATCCACTGTCCATGCATCCATGTTTGATTCCAGTTTTTCTCTGTAGCATTATCTTTTTAAATGTCACTCACACCTATGACTTTATTCATTGGCTAAAAATCCTGGAAGATTCAAGAAAGCTCATTTAATTAAAATAATACCTAAATATTTTCCTTTCCAACTGTGATTCAACAAGGACTAGACAATTGCTTTTTTCAGGAACTGTAGTTCTGAGTCTGAGCCCCTTGTTGTCTCTGGAATAGATGCATCAATTTGTATGCATATCTTCTTTGTAAACTTAGGTAGGACATGTACTATGCATAGTCATTTTTAAACACTATATTTAAAAAGGCAACATACCAATGTACTAAAAAAGGGAAATATTTAATCAGTACATGCTGAACTACCTATGCTGATATATGATTGCAAAACTATTAACGAATGGTCACTATTTTAGAGTCCTATGTATAATACTCATACCAAAGATACCTTCCCCTAAATAATCTGTGGAACATTTGATGCTCTTTTTCAATCTATGTTATATCTTCCAATTCTATAACAGCTAATATCTTTCTTTCTCTCTTCCTCTCTTTCTTTTCTAAGCAGGTGATAGTCCTCCAGATGAGAAGAATACTCCTGGGCTTGAAGAATCAAAAACTGGAATGGAAATTAAAATAGAGGAACATAAGCCACTAAAAGAATCTGCTGAAATGCCAGAATGGAACAAAAGCAGCACTAATGATATAAAGATAATTGAATCACTGCCAGATCATTTGAATGAACAGCAGAAGAGGCAGCAGCTGTCTGTTTCTGATCGCCATGTCTATAAATATCGTTGTAACCATTGTAGCTTGGCTTTTAAGACTATGCAGAAGCTTCAGATACATTCCCAGTATCATGCTATTCGGGCTGCTACCATGTGTAGCCTTTGCCAACGTAGCTTCCGTACATTCCAGGCTTTAAAAAAACATTTGGAAGCAGGCCATCCAGAACTCAGTGAAGCTGAAATTCAGCAGCTGTGCGCATCTTTACCTGTAAATGGTGAACTCTGGGCAGAAAATGAAAGTATGGCACAAGATGAACATGCACTAGAACAAGATATAGAAAGGGAATATGAGGTGGACCAGGAAGGTAAAGCAAGTCCTGTAGGAAGTGATAGCAGCTCGATTCCAGATGAAATGGGCTCAGAACCAAAGCGGACCTTACCTTTTAGAAAAGGGCCAAATTTTACTATGGAAAAGTTTTTAGATCCTTCTCGTCCATATAAATGCACAGTGTGCAAAGAGTCTTTCACGCAAAAGAACATTCTTTTGGTCCATTATAATTCAGTGTCTCACTTACATAAACTCAAAAAAGTGTTGCAGGAAGCATCAAGCCCTGTCCCTCAAGAAGCAAACAGCAGCACTGACAACAAACCCTATAAATGCAGCATTTGTAATGTTTCTTACAGCCAAAGTTCTACACTGGAAATCCACATGAGATCTGTACTTCATCAAACGAAGGCAAGGGCAGCAAAATTAGAGCCGAGCAGTAGTACATTGAGTGGAAGTAGTATAGCAGGGAATGTTAATAGCCCTAGCCAAGGATCAGTAGAGTCTACAAGCTTACCAGCAGTTAACAACAAAGAAACTCACCTAGATGCCAAAGAATTAAATAAAAAACAGGCTTCTGAATTAGTTTCTGCTCAGCCTACACATCATCCCCCCCAGTCACCAGCACAACTGCAGATGCAACTTCAGCATGAATTGCAGCAGCAAGCAGCTTTCTTTCAACCACAATTCCTGAATCCTGCATTTTTGCCTCATTTCCCTATGACACCAGAGGCATTGTTGCAATTTCAACAGCCCCAGTTTCTTTTTCCATTCTATATTCCTGGGACTGAGTTCAGTTTGAGTCCTGATCTGGGTTTACCTGGTTCTGCCGCTTTTGGTATGCCTGGGATGGCAGGGATGGCAGGTTCACTGCTAGAAGACCTAAAACAGCAGATGCAAACTCAGCACCATGTTGGTCAAACTCAGCTACAGATATTACAGCAACAGGCACAACAGTATCAAGCTACACCACCTCAAATTCAGTCCCAAAAGCAACAGCAGCAACAGACTACTAAGTTGGTAAAAGCAGAGCAAAATAGTGTGGTAAATGCAGAATGCCAGATGGTGAAGGATATGCCCTTAATTAAGGAATCTGAAGAGATTTCTGAGAAACAAGAAAAACCAAAGCAAGAATTCACAAGCGATAGTGAAGGGCTGAAAGAAAACAAAGAAATAAAGAAGCAGAAGTCCTCAGAACCAATTATCCCACCACCTAGAATTGCTTCTGGGGCAAGAGGAAATGCAGCCAAAGCTTTATTAGAAAATTTTGGCTTTGAGTTGGTTATTCAATATAATGAGAATAGGCAGAAGGTGCAGAAGAAAAGTAAAACTGGTGATTGTGAAAATACAGACAAACTGGAATGTGCAGCGTGTAGTAAATTATTTTCAAACATACTTATACTGAAGAGTCATCAGGAACATGTTCATGGTCAGTTCTTCCCATATGGTGCACTAGAAAAATTTGCCTGTCAATACAGGGAGGCATATGACAAGCTTTATCCTATATCACCATCTTCTCCAGAGCCACCCCCACCTCTCCCCCCACCCCACCCCACCCTCCACCTCGTAACTCCT